ATAAGAAAACTGGGTACAGATCAACTTATAGTTAAAGTGGAATAGCATTTATTGAGATATAAAAAGAAGAATGATTTTAAATAATAAATTGTATGTTGTTGTTCTGTTCAATTCGATATTTTCAATATTTTTTTTTTGAAGAAAAATATATTTAGAGGGAACTTTCGTGTGTTTAATAAAAGAATAAAATTAGTCATAAGCAGATAAATCAAAGCCTTTTTTACTGTGTGTTATAGAGTATCCATACTAGATAGAATTTGGATTCATTGTCTTAAAGCGTTTTTGTAATTTAAAAATTGCGTTTATATGTGTTTGGTGATAAAAATATATATAAATAAATAAGTAAAAACATTTTTAGGGAATAAATAGATGTCTAATTAAGAAATAAAAAATGCTTGTTAATGAAGCAAAAAGTTAAAAGTTTTAAAATTGTGTTCTGAGTTAGAATATTTTAGGTAACTATTTTTTATTTTTACAATTAATCTCATAATTTATTTAATAGTTGAAAGCTCGTCATTGTACTAGAAGAGTTATGTAACTGATATAGAAAAAATAATTTCGCATTGATGGCTTGTGTTGACTAACCGAATAACAAAAATATCACTCTGAAACCCTAACTTCCTAGGGAAACAATAAGTTCAATAATCTCACTAGTTTGTTAGGAGATAGATGACACCTTATACAACATGTGGTTAGAGGGGATGAACACAATCCCTAAAAAACTCTTGCTATCTTTAACTGATGTAGATCACGAGGACTACAAAATACAACTCCGGCTAATTAAATGAGGTATATAAAAGTTATTGCGATTCACCTAATTCAATATCTTACAATTATCACTGGTTACTGACTTGACTGTCGGAGCGTCCTCAGTCGACACCACACCGGTGCCATCCGAGGTGACATAATCTCCATTGTTTTGTAGGGAAATGTTGTTGTTCTTGGTTGTGCAGATTTTTGCATCAACAACTGGCACTGTCTATGTGAACCGATTATTTCGCTGAAGAAATAATAATTCTAATGTGATTCGGCTCGGACGACAAGACAAATGTTTCTGATCATGGAAACTATCCCAAAAGCATCCATTATAAAGTGTCGCAACAAGGGTCCCATGTTCTTATAGAAGGACGGGTCTTTATGCCAAGACCCTTCTATCCATCATACTGGGGCATAACAATGAATCGCATAATGCCAATCTACATATGATGGTATGGTCAAGAAGCCTAATGAATCAACCTTGGTACAGCAAGCGAGCCAAGTTCCTAGTCTCTCTTACCAACCAATACTTTGCCCTTAGCATTACCAAGGTTTGGTCTTCCGAAACCAGGCACCAAGACCTGGTCATATAAGACTAAGGTCCAATCATCCAAAATCATAGCCTGGTAGGTCTCTATAAACCACGAAGGACTATACGTCCAAGAGAGTTCACTACGTCCAGAGTGGTCCCCACAATAATGAGGTTCTTAACCACCAGTCACTAAGCCTGGTCTCATCCACATTAAGCCTAGTGGGTCTCGGCAATAGAATATAGGAAAATTTTATCCACATCATCATGCTAAGCAATTTAGGTTTCATCTGTACTAAGCTTATGAGTTTCAGCTATGTCGAGCCTAGTCTCAAACTTAGGCAAAAGATCCAAAGCCTCATTGCCAAGAAAAATCACAATATAATTTAAGAAAGAGGCTAGAATAGGGGAAATCTATAAATGTCCAAGGCCTTTCGGCCAGGTCAGTATTGGTCAATCGTACAGAGAGATACGACCACATCAAGAAGTATGATTAATATCCCAGAGATAGTTGTGGAAAAGATAATGCCCATGCAAAGCACATGGTATTTGGAAATAGACATCATTGGTCCTTTGCTACAAGGAAGAGGGCAAACATTTTGTCAATGAATAAGTCACTACTAAGGCATCCTCAAATACAATAAATCCCTTATAAGATTGAGCTTACGAAGCTTAGAAAAAATAATTCCCTTAATAAAGGGCAAGCTCATGAAAAAAAAAGAAGCATTTTCCCTTATTAAAGGGTAAACTCATAAAGCTCATGCAAAACATCCCCTTATTTAAGGGGTGAGCTGGTTGAAGCTTGTAAAAATTAAACCCTTTATTCAAAGGGCGGGCAGGATGAAGCTCGGAATTATTACTCCCTTTATCAAAGGGGTGAGGTAAATGAAACTCATAAAACTTATTCCCCTTATTAAAGGGATGAGCTGAGTGAAATTTATAAAACATACACATATATAGTATGTTGATTCCCAAAAGGGAATCCAATTATCACTGTACATTGATGTTGAGTGTGGGATTCGAACCCACGCCCACCCTAGGTTTGGCGTACCGTTGTTCACCTCGAAATAATAGCCAAGGTAGAACTATTCACCTTGGGAACATTATCTCAAGGTAAAAAAATATATATATTATTCACCTCGGGAATAGTACCAGAGGTAGTGATCACCACAAACGTATTATTCTCAAAGAGAACCAAACGATCATGTTGCCTCGGGAAGAATTTGTTAAGACTGGGATTTAAACCCACAACCTTTCAAACCAGAACAGTATCTAGTACGTTACCTTGGAATTGTACCCAAGTAAGAAAGAAAAAAAAAAGGTATGCAGATTCCTTTTGAATCTCCAAAGAAAATCAAGCGATCACGTGGTGGGAATTGAACCCACACCTTTCCAAATCGGAACCTTGATCTATCCTCTAGATACATTACCTAAGGAACTAGGTTAAAAAAAAGGGGTTGAATTCCAAAGGAATCTGTACAAAAAAGGTAAGCAGATTCCCTTTGGATCTCCAAAGAAAATCAAGTGATCACATGGTGGGAATTGAACCCATGTCCTTCCAAATTGGAACCTTGATCTAGATACATTACCAGATGAACTAGGTTAAAAAAAAAAAAAAAAAGAAGGTTGGATTCCAAAGGAATCTGTAAAAAACTTTGTGTGGGTTAAAAAAAAAAAAAAAAACCAAGGTTGAATTCCAAAAGAATCTATAAAACTTTGTGCAAGGTCATGCCCTTTCACCCTATAACTTTTGGCGCCTCGGGAACCCTTTCTAAAAATGACACCATAATAGAGATAAAAAAAAAATGTACTATTCACCTCGGGAATAGTACCCAGGGGTAAAATAAAGCAAAATGTTGGATTCCAAAAAGAATCGAGCAATCACATTACCTCCGGCAAAAATCAGAATGGGATTCAAACTCATGCCTTTTTATGCCATAACTTTTGGTATATCGGGAATAGTACCCGAGGTTAATATATATATATATATATATATATATATATATATATATATATTTGGATTCCAAAGGAATTGTATTGTCTTAACGAAAATTTGTGCAGGATTTGAACCCACGCCTTTTCATGTCATAACTTTTGGCACATCAGAAATAATACCCGAGAGGTTAAAATATATATATATTTGGATTCTAAAGAAATTTTTTTGTGCAAGGTGGGATTTGAACTCACGCCCTTTGCATAACGTTTGGCACGTCGAGAATAGTAACACGAGGTGTATATATATCAGGGGAATATTACCCTGGGATATTGTTCACCTCATGAATAGCAACCTGAAGTAACAAAAAGAAAACCACCTTGGGAACAGTACACCAACATATTGTTCAACTCGGGTTCAATTTTCCTAGCCCGTTCAGAACCAGAAAATAGGGGGCAACTGGTAGTGAAAAAATAATTTTGCATTGACTGGCTACGTTGACTAACAAAATAACAAAAATATCACTTTAAAATCCTGGGATATCAATAAGTTCAACAATCTCACCAGTTTTTTTGGAGTTAGATGGCCACTCTATACAACGTGTGGTTAGAGGGGGATGAACATAATCCCCAAAAAATCTTGTTATCTTTAACTGATGCAATTCACGAGGACTATAAAAGACAACTTTGGCTAATTAAACCAGGTATGTAAAAGTTATTACGATTCACGAATTCAATATCTTACAATTATCACTGGTCACTGATTTTACTGTCGGAGCATCCTCAGCCGGTACCACACCGGTGCCATTCGAGGTGACATAATCTCCATTGTTTTGTAAGGAAACGTTGTCGTTCTGGGTGGGGCAGATTTTCACATCAACATAATTAAATATATATTCTAGAACTGTGTCATCGATCACTTTGCATCACTGTCACTATTACTATCGCTTTACATATTCTATTAATAAAAATCATATCTCAAATACAAAATAATAATCATTAGATATTTTTAAATTATATATATATATATATATATATATATATATATATATTAATGTTAAATGCAAATATTATATAATAAACAAAATAATATTAAAGAAAAATTCAAACACCTTAATGAAATTTCACAATAATTAATATTTGAATAGTGCACATATTTAATAGGAGAAATAATAGGTCTTCCGATTTCAATTGTCGACTCATCCTCCGAATACAACATGGTTGGATCACGTTGGAACTCTTAAAACAAAATCCCGTAAAATTTTCTTTCTTTTTGACTTATTCTCAACCACTTTGTATTTGGAGAATGAGTCGGCAAATGAGGTCAGAAGACCTATTACTTTTTTTATTTAATAGTGTTTGAATAATATAATACAATTAAAATAAAAGTGCTTTAACCAACATTTGTTATCAAAACAAAATTAAAAATCTGTTTGGAATGTGTTATGATATTATTTTTTTTATATTGGTCTTTAAATTTGGGTCTATATCATGTTTGGAACGGTTAATTTGAAACAGTTCATAACATGATATTGTGTGTTTTGATAGTAAAGCGTAGGAACTAAAATAAATTTTTAAAATTTTCAAAATAAATTTTCATTCTTACAAAAATAAATTTTTATTTTCAAATATGGTTTCGATTTATACCCAAAATATTCTTACAAAAATAATTTTTTTTTTTTTTTATCAAATATAGTTCTAATTTCTATCCAAAACACTAGTGTAATAAAATGATTACTAGCAGGTCAAACGGCCCCATATAAGAAGTCCCTAACATATCCTTTTAACAACGGCAACATAAAAATGGTGACCAGCGCCAGCAACAGCATTTGGTCTCGACAGTGTGGCAGGGCCGGCCCTCGCCCAAGGCCGACCAAGGCGGTCGCCTTGGGCCTCAAATTTTAGAGGGCCTTAAGGGATGGAAAAATAAAAAATAAGTTAGGGCAAGTTTCAGACGACACAATCTGCTTCGACACTCCGCAGGGCGCAGCCTCCGCTATCGCCTCAGGTGACAAGGTATGTTCATCCTCTCTCTATCTTCTCTCTCCTTTTGCATGAATCGATCTTTTATATATGTTTCCTTCTTTCTTTCGTTCATCTCATCATTTGATTTGTTCTAACTTTGGTTCGTTTGATTCGGGCCTTTACCTTTGTTCCAATAGTGAAAAGTAGCTAGGGTTTTGTGTGTGTGATGGCTATCAAAAGCTGAATGCATATACTATGATTCTCTTAGTATTTTAATAAATGTTTGCCTTTCTACATGTGTCTTTCATGGCGATCGAGTCCATAATCTATGGCAGGTACTTTTTTTTTTTTTTTCCCTCTCCCTAAGTCCACTCCAATCTCACAACAGCAGCAACCATACCCCTTTTCCTCATAATTTTTTGCATTTAAAATTAAGGATCCCTTCTAGTGGGTTGAGGTAATAATGAACTTTTTCTATCTCTAAATTATGCTCATACTTAAAAGTGCCAAATTAAGTGTTTTTATATTTATTTTTAGTTTTTTTATATGAAGATATATACCACCGTTATTTATGTTATTTGAAGTTGGCTCAGCTAGAATTTCAGTTAATAATACTGTCAAAGCACTTGCCATCGGAATATACAAACACATGGAAATCAAGAGCAGGCTCTAACAAAACAAAAGTTAATGGTTTTTTCTATTAATTTGCACAGGTCTTCTGTAGCAATGATCAATCAATCACTGCGGGTAATTGGCTCCCAAAAAAACCACACACAAAGTGTAGTGTAGTTAATATAATGAGTGAAAGACAAAACTATATATGATAGTGGTTGCCACATATAACCTAAAAGTCCCACTACTTCTTCAATACTACAAGTTCAGCCTCCTATATATATATATATATATATATATATATATATGTATAGTCACCTCATCTCCACATATTTTTGTCATCTGTAATCATCAAATTTTAGTAGCTATATAAACAATGAATGTAAAATAAGCTGCAGTTTTCTGTTCTCTAGTAAACTGTTCTCTTCATTTTTTATTTTGTGCCTGTGAAAATTTCGCACTCTTTAATTGATAAATTTATTGTTATTAGTTAGCTGTCTTATGCACACTGCACATGCGCACAATTATTTATTGGTGTTGATAAAAATTTATAGTTATTAGTTAGTTGTCTTAAGCACACTGCACAGACGCACAATTATTTATTGGTGGTGATACATTTATACTTATTAGTTAGTTGTCTTATGCACAATGCACAGGGGCACAATTATATTAGCTACAGAATTTGAAAACATCGTGTTAAAATTTCGCACTCTTATAATTCTTTTTTGTGCGTGTGAAACTCAATGGCCTCACATTCGAAAGTTCACCTAGGGCCTCTCAAAATATTTGGAATCTCAGGGCCGGCCCTGCCGTGTGGTTATGCGCGGAGACAAAGAAGGACGAAGATACTACTACTTGCTGCCTCAGTTGCTCAAACATCCAAACTTTGACAACCGCCGAGCTGTTCAACAAGTCCACTCTCAACTCATCACCAATGCTTCACACTCTGCTGAAATGCCGATGACAATCTGGAACAATATACTTCGACACTACTCACTCAGTTCCTTCCCCGAAGAAGCTATCTTTCTCTACAAACACCTTCAATTCCACCAACCACACTGGCCCATTTTGTTCGATAGCTTCACCTACTCTTTCCTTGTCAAAGCCTGCGCTAATTTGCAGCGAACTATAATGGGTGTGCAATTTCATGGTCTTACTCTCAAAGCTGGATTCGAGTTTCATGTTTACGTGCAAACTGCTCTGGTCAATATGTATGTGGTTTGTGGGTCTGTTTTTGAAGCGAAGAAGGTGTTCGATGAAATGCCTGAGAGAAACTCCGTCACCTGGAATGCTTTGATCACTGGTCTAATGAAATGTGAGGAGTTGGAGCTCTCTCGTTCTCTCTTTGAAGTGATGCCGACTAAGAATGTCGTTTCGTGGACTGGCCTCATTGATGGGTATGCGAGGATGAATCGGCCGAAGGAAGCTATGTTGTTGTTTCGGAGAATGGTTGTGGATGAAGGCATTAAACCAACTGAAATAACGATTTTGGCGATTCTCCCAGCACTTTGGAATCTCAGGGCTCTTGAGCTTTGCCAGTCCGTCCATGCTTACGGAGAGAGAAGTGGGTTCAATGCATCTGATATTCGCATAATGAATTGCCTTATAGATGCTTATGCAAAATGTGGTTGTGTAGAGAGTGCATTAAGACTTTTCGAGGATGTGTCTGCAGAGAGGAGGAATTTGGTGTCATGGACCTCAATAATATCTGGGCTTGCAATGCACGGGATGGCGAAAGAAGCTGTGGATAATTTTAGAAGAATGGAGAATGCTCGTGTGATGCCGAATAGTGTGACGTTTTTGAGTGTTCTAAATGCCTGCAGCCATGGAGGGTTGGTCGAAGAGGGGCTCTCGATTTTCAGGAAGATGGTTAATGAGTGTCAACTTATACCAAACATTAAGCACTATGGGTGCTTAATAGACATGTTGGGAAGGGCCGGGAGGTTTGAGGAAGCAGAAAAGATGGCTTTGGAGATTCCTCCTGAGATGGCCAATGTTGTGATTTGGAGGACGCTTCTGGGTGCTTGTAGTTTCCATGGTAATGTTGAGATGGGAGAAAGAGTTACAAGGAAGATACTAGAGATGGAAAGGGGATATGGTGGTGACTATGTGCTTTTGTCCAACATATTTGCCGGTGTTGGTAGGTTTGCAGATTCAGAAAGGACAAGGGGAGTGATGGATGAGAGAAATGCCCCCAAAGTTCCTGGCCTTAGTTTGGTCTGATTAATAGAGAAGTGGAAATTAAAATGCATGGTATATAACTTTTACACTGGGGAAACCCATTTTTCACATTTTTATATGTATCTTGATTGTTGATTGGGCTGGTTTTTATACATATAGTTAAAAAGACTCCAGAATATAATCATAGGCCAGATCATTACTTGGGAAATTCACCTTAAGATCCTTATGATCAACTGGCCTGTCTAACACGGAGTTGTTCAACTAAATTCTGAGGGAAATGTAGTCTTTAAGGACCCTGTAAGGGTAATTTGAAAAAATAATGATCTTGACAGAGCTTGATTTATTATATGAATCGGCAGATACAGTCACTCTTGAACTACTTAATTTTTTTTTTTCCTGATGCAATGACGCCTTTTCAGGTATAATGGTGGAAAATAATGATATATAAACAATTAACGTTGGAACAACTATACGGGTTGGTTTCGTGACTCTTGGCTTCTTGAGGACTGTAGATATGGGCTTTTTTGTTAGGAAGACCTTTTGCAGATATATGCAGAAAATCTAGATTACTTGAAGGCAGTGAAGTTACTTGAGAAGATTCCATAATTTGGTCGAACGGTCCTAGTACTCGTCTTATATGGTAGAACTAGAATAGTTGATACCAGATTGGAATAATTAGAATTTGGTGGGGACTTTTGCCTAAGCGAGCAACGATTGATGCAGTGTAGGAAAAAGTTTAGTCAATCAAGTGTGCCTCCCTGTGATATGGATGGAATGCACAAGCTAATATAGAATTAGCCAATAGCTACAGATGTCAGTGTAAATGGAAACTGCTCCATGCCTTTGAGTCTAAAATTTAGTCTAGATCACATCTTAAAACCTTCTGGAATAAGATCAAATTGTTAGGCCTTTGTTCCATGGCTGCTAGTTGGGACTGTATGAGGCTTTATTGGTTTGTCTATATGGGGCTTCCTTACACCAAACTTCAATTTATCTCTATTTTGTTTTTTTTCCTAGAAAAGAGGATCGTTCAAGAAGGGCTAGTTCATCATATATGACCAAGAAGAAGTTGAAGTCAACCACTGGTTCAGGTATGCTAATATACTATGGAAGGATGAGTGTACCAAGAAGAGATCATATTAACACTGGGTATGAGTGTCAATATATATGTAGAAGCACAACACTGCCCTTCTCAAGCATGCACATTTTCAGTTAGTGAGCAGGCATCATTGCACATCTCGGTAAGTAATGGTTTTGTGATATCTATATATATTATCAGATTTGCTCCAGCAAGTGTGATTGGCTTTTTTCTTGCGGCTTAAAGTTTCAGTGTGGTTCATGCTTGCACACTGAATAAAAGATATAAGCCTTGTCATACTCTAAAGACACTTGACCGGAGCAAGGTTTGGCACTGGTGTCCAATTTACTGAACAGGTATCAAAAGAATGATCTAGAATATGATATATTACTTTTACAGGTTATAATTGAGGGGTGGGTGTTCAGACAACTTCTGTAGGGAACAATGCTTTGAAGATTTTGTGTTTAAGTTTATAGCATGAGATATATTTTACAACTGCAATGCATACTGATGGAACTAATCTTCCTTTTACATAAAACAGAAACTACCGGTTTTCCTTTCTTTTGGTTGCCTACTCCATGCAACAACCAGCTCAGTTCTATTTGTAAGTCCAGAGAATTTCTGCATTATGGTCATTACCTCATTGGATTGCAATCCAGAGTCTAGTATAAGAAAACAACAATGTAAATCTCTGATAGTATAACTGCTGATACATCTGCACCAATTTAGGTGAAGTATTTTGACCGAGACAGTTTCATTCTTCTCTACCATGTACAATTGTGACATCTCTCTCATGTGCATTTGGCCAAAGTTAAGCTGGCAATTGTAAAAGTTCAATTGCCAAGCATAAATATGGGATCGGAATATAAGGACAGATTCATAATAATGTCAAACCTTAGTTTTTTTTTTATTTAATCCATCTTTCAGAACATCTAACTTTTCCTTCATACTCGCTAGGGTAAGACAAGAAATTCATGGGCTTGGCAAAGTATATGTTCATCTTGTGGAGTTCTGAAACACACATTGAAGTGGCGGATGGCTAAAGGTGATCAAGTCGATATTTGGTATAATCCTTGGATCCCCGACTCAAGCAATTTTGTCATTTCTTCACCTTGCCCCCTTGCATCATCAGTTAAGAAGATTTTCAACTCGGTGAACACCCAGTCAAATGTTTGGAATAGAAATTTAGGCCTTCCTCGGAATGTCACTCTGAAAATAGTTTTCTGTTTTCAAACTGTTTTCAGAGTGACAAAAAACTAAAAAAATTATTTTTGGTCTGCTTGGATATGTTTTACAAAAATAGTTTTCGAAAAACTGATTTATGAGAGTTGGGGGTTTTAGAGAACTTCCTTTGCAGTTCTGAGAATTTAGGAAACAGAGAGTCCGCTAATTGAAAACACGGAGAATTGCCTTCTGTGCTACCTTCTCATTTACGACACTTCTCGCTTATTTGACAGCAGCCGCACAATCCTCCCTCTCTATTTTTATCTTAACAGAAGAAGAGTTCTCTCTACAGATTTCTTCAGCCATCATCAAATTTGTTTCTCTCAAATGATTTTTTCTCTAGTCTTGACTAACTATCGATCTCTGTTGCTCTGTTAAGGTAAAACAATCGATCTCTCTGTCTCTCTCTCTCAGATTCACAATTTATTTTCACATGCAAGGAGAACTGTCTTATGTTATGATCCATTGGGAATGTTTGTCGTTTTTCAAGTTCATGGGTTTTCTTTGGTTATCTCATAATTTGATTTGGGTTGAGGTTTGATTGCTTTGCGTTGGTTGGATGGATTTGGTTGTGAATGAGAGTTCTTATGCATTTGGTTGGGCTTGATTTACTTTTGTCACACTCCGGATTAGGATTTTCCTTGATTGCTTTGATTTCGTACATCTAACTATGCTCTCATCCAGATTAAGGTTTTCCTTGATTGCTTTGATTTTGTTATACTCCAAATTGTGGAAGCTATCCTTTATTAGGGGTTCTGCAATTGTTCATGTATAATTTTCTTAATTTTCTGTATATGATGAATCAATTTTGCTGGTAATCTAAAAATATGTGAGTGATGGTCCAGTCCTAGTTTCTTAATAGTTTTTTTTTTCTTTTTCTTTTTCCGCTGTTTTCATCCAGAAGTGTGAGGAAACATCCATGATGGTCCAGTTTATGAATTAAATAAAGTGAAGGTTCATGTTACATCCCACAATTACCTTGGGGAAATGAAACCCTTTTTCACGTCCTAAATTGAAAATGATATGTGAATGGAGAACAAAATCTCCACCAATCACTGGGAAAAATAGCTCAAAACAAACTCTCTCTCTCCACTGTGTTAACTACTTAAATTTAGGATCCTTTTTCTCTAAAAACAAACCCGAGGGGTTTTTAATTTCATACTGAACTTGCAATATCATCCTCACTAACATTAATTAGTATAAAGTGGTAGATATAATTATAGAGAACAACTCTTTGGTACTTGTTCTCTGTGGGGAGATTCAGAGGTTTCATAGAGACCCATTTTCCAATATGTGAATGATGATCCAGTTTATGAGTTAAATAAATATACAAGATTGAGTCAAGTAGCATACAAGTGTAAGCAAGTCTAGTGGAAAAGGGGGCTTGATTGTGTGTAAAATGTATTCCAATGTAAAGTGAATTCTTGATTTTGTGTAAACTTCGTTTATTGAATACATTAGGCATGTTTCTTATTAAGACTCGATGTTGTGCTCTTTTAGATAGAGAACTGAGGTTGTTATTTATGCTCTCTTGAAATTAAGACTTGATTATCGGAATTCAGAATTGAGGTTGATAAATGTGAGCCACTGGTTTTAGTGAGAAATGGGGATTATGTGAGGCACAGTAGGGGATAAATGTGTGCCACTGGTTCTTCCTTATTTTGATTTCCTATCAAAATGAAGGGCCATAAGGATTCTTGGTGAGACATGGGAATTATGTTATATTGATGTTGCACTTCAACCATTAGTGACACGATTTTGATATTGTTCTTATTTCTTTCTTTTCCTATTGCCTGTCACTGCTCTTCGAATTCTCTCCAGGTAATTCTCTTAAACATCTTAGTCTATGATTGTTCAATGTATCAGGTTCGGCACTTTTTTCAGGATTGTTCAATGTGTAATGTCGCTTAGTAGTATCACTTCATGCTTTCAGATGACATTGCAATTGATCGAAACCAAGTTGAGTTAACTGTAGACCATGTTGGCAGGTTGTATCCGTTCATTCTTGCAGATGTCATCCTTCATAGTATCAGTTCATGCAAGGAATTTTCTTCTTTCATGGCATATTTGGACGCAAGGCATCTTCTCGTTGCAGACTTACATGGTTCCATGGTTGCAAAATTTGATTGCATATGTGGATGCAAGCCATCTCATTTTATGGCTTTACGTTCAGTCCATATTATGTCCGGGTCTTGTATATCTTCAGATTTATATATGATCAGCCTTGCAAGTGCTCAAAAATTCAATCGTAGTTATCCGAAGTCCCTACTAGTACATGTGCACGAATTTATCTTCTTCCTTACCTTCCGAAAAAAAAAATTCTTCTTCCTTCTTGTTCAGGGGAGGGATGCCTCTTTCCTTAAAGCCTTGTACATGTTCAATACTTAAATATAAATTATTATTCCTTTTAAATTACCTTAATTGAGAAAATAAATCATTCATGCTTGATGCATTGAGTATAAATTTTTTGGTATTAATGGATGAATCCTTAATAGGAGTTCAAAATTTAGCATACCTTATTACCAAAATACAATTTGCTATATGCCCAAAATCGATTGCTTTTAGACGTTGTACACTTTTGAAGCTCTTCTTGGATATTTTTCCACTAGCATGCTAATACTAATTGTATTCTATAGTCCATGTCATTTTGAACATATTATGTTCTAAATGGTAGTGACTAGGATATGCATAACAGTGATTGATATGTCCACGAGTGTTGAACTTTTGGTATTGGGAAATTGGATGACTGATAATATTTTCTCCTTCTATTTGACGAACTGATTGATCCTTTCTGACCCTGAATTTCTTTGTTCATAGAATTTGCATTAGCATGGATTGATCTTATTGAATTGAATAAGTTCTATTGCCTTAACCTTTTTAGTTGTGACTGTTGTTTGATGCTTTGGACCAATTAGCCAAAGTTGCGTTGTTTGTTAGCCTCTTAGAAAGTAATAATACTTGAAGTTGGAGATGTATACTTTGAGCTTATATTAGGAGTTGGGTGTAATCTACAACTCATGGTTGGACCCTGATGCCCCACATATTTTTTTTCCCTAGCTGACTTGAACTGATCTACGTTGCTAATTCTTGCAAGTATCTGCAATTGGACACATCGAGTGCCTTCTAGAAATCATGTTTCTGGACCTGATGATATGTTCAGTGTGCAGGGAATCGTTAATAATTCGCAAATATTGTAGATTTTTGATGAACTTGTAACGTGCTTTTTCATTGTTGACCTCAATTTGCAATTTGGTGTGCCTCTAGATCATCTCTTGTTAATTATTAATCGAAGTAGAGGCATTGTCCTTTCAGTAGTGTGTCTTTTCCAGCCATTGGTTTCTGTATGGTTTTGGATTTACAGTGGAAGTATATAAAGTTGTGTATCATCATATTAGCATATGTCTTCAGACCCTCATTGGGCTTTCCTTTATTATGCAGCCCTGTATACTAGATTTTCTCGATAAGGCACTAGTCATTACATATGGAGCAAACAGCTGCTTATGATGGCAGCATAGCAAAAATTTGTTGTTGTATGGAAGAGAAAACGTAGGTCAAAAGGTATAGGATCTGTAATGGTGGAAATTCTAAGAGCTTTATATGGTGTAGCTTCAAGTGCCCCCCGCGTCCAACTGTTCAGTTGTGGTTCCGATGGGTCATTACTAAAATGAATCGAATTCTATCAGATATTTATATTTCTCCTTTGAATTACTTACACACACACACACATATTTTGCACCAGAAACTATTCTAGGAGAACTTTGAATGAGTTCCGTTTAGATATTCATTGGTCTTGGTGGTGGTCAAACCAAACCTGTTTTCCACGAGAATGTAAAACATATTTCTATTATGTCTATTTTCTTTACAAGGTATATATCTTACTTGAAATGACCTTCATCTTTTAACTAATCAAGGTTAGCTTCCAAATTTTCATTTGCTCTTCCGTTTTCGATTCCCCAAGTGTTGCTTTCTTTTTCTTTTTGTGTTTACACCCTATTTTAACCAATGAAGAATTAACGCGTGGAAGAAGTCAATTGAAAACCAACTCCGAGCAATTTCAGGAACCAGAGGTTTAATCAGAAGCAGCTAGAAGTGGTTTGTTAAGACAATCTTATCCAATTAAATGTTGACATGTGGCGAGTTGTTATTAAAGACTTGCCATATCCAATTCAAAGCTGATTGCAAGAGTCCAAGAATAGCAAAAGATTAAGTATGGATCAGGGCTGTGAGAATTGGAGTAGAAGAGTGCTAGGAATCTACCAAGAAGCCTGGGCTATACGAAAATGCCACGTGTACGTAAGGAGTTTGATCTCATCAAGGGAAACGTGTCAACTAAAGGAAGAGTTTTACGCATGCAAATTGGGCTCCAAAAATATGCATTGAAACATGATGTAGCAACCACCAATCAAACACTTGATGAAGTAATGACTGGAGATCATGGGCCACTATTATCGTTCTCTGAAAATTAAGTAGTGGCCATCATCCAGACAATCAAAAAGCACGAATGCATGGCTGTGCACGCATGTAAGCATTGAAAAGATTGCAGAGAACAGGGAGACACATGGCATGAATCCAACCAATCCACTTGAAGGCATCTGAAGTTGGCAATGGAACTGTTTAGAACTGCTATGTTAACTGCTATTCCACAATTCTATAAATAGGGCATAATATTGTAATTTAAAAGGCATGTTCAACACACACAACTCAAGCAGTATTTCAATACAACTAATCTTTCATTGCAATGCAATTTTAACATGTCTAGCTTAAGTCTTGCACTTTCTTGCTTTACATTACAGTATTTTACATTCAAGTCATGCACTTTCAAAAGTAATTTGTTCCCTCTTAGCCAAGTAGCAATCTCGAAGTCCTTTGTCAAAGGCAAAAAAGACCTAAGGGTGGTCATTCCAGACTTCTTCACAATCGTCTGATCTTACAATCTTCTATCTGGAATATTGTTTGGATCTTTCTTTGGAACTACAGCAGTTCCTGGCACATCTTTCTAGTTCCTTTGGAATTGACCATTTTTGCAACCCAAACATTATGGACATGTGATTGTTGCCCTTTTTTTGCAGAGGTGCAAGCATTTTGAGATTGGTGGAGATAAGAAGGTGAAGGGGACTTCTCTTTTCTAAGTGGCAGTTTTATGTAGTGTTGTCCTGGTCTTATTGACGTGCTATGTTTCTTGACCTAAGGTTTAACTTTCAATTTGAATGCTTCTGTTTTTATGCTGGTCACCATGTCAATTGAAGTTTTTACATTTAAAAATAGATGCATACTTGAAGGGAAATGTAGCTTGGATTAGGCTATAGAGATTATGAATATAAAAATAGATTTTAAATATCAGTATTTAGCAGGCAGGTTCTATAAAAATCCCAATAAATCTAATTGGTTTGTGTTGCATTGTCTGTTCGGCTTTTTTATTTGTTGTCATAGGCTTTTGTGTATTGAACCTTGCTACCCTATCAGTGCCATGATAATACCTTCATTTCTATATATGTGCTTATATATATACATATTTATGTTGATTACTGTAGTATGTTTGTTTTTGCTTTTATTTATTTTTTTGGGTAAATTATTTTTGATTTTATAGAACTATTATTATTTGAGTAATAGGGAACATGAGTAAATGATGAAGGTGGTTTACGTAATTATGGGTGGTACCCTCTACACACAAATGCATTGATAAGGGGACAAGAGTTTCCTTCACCGAGATGATGCTGAACATGTGAATTCAAATCCGGTGAAAAAGAATTTATGAAGAGCAATGTGAGTTATTTGTCATGAAAAAAAAAAAAAAAAACAAAAAAAAGGCATTTTTTCCTTGAACGAAATAATTTTTAACTTTTTATTTTTATTATATATATATATATAGATATGGAAATGATTTCTTACTTAACGGTGAGCACAAAATTTGTCCACATATATGGATATGTTTTTGCATTTGAGTGCTTCTTTTTAGGAAAATTGTTTCAAGTATTTCTATTATCCCTTTCTCTATCCTTCCCTGCCCATTAAAATACTATCTGTGCACATTTTCTAATATGAAGTACTTAAAGTTGTACATTTAAAATTTTATGGGTGAATTATCCTGACCTCCTCATGTTTTCACCCCAGACGAAACCTTTTGAAAAACCAGTGCCCCCTGTTTAAAATACAGAACAAATGTTTGTAATGACTTGTACCCATCACTAAAGTGAGTTGTTGATAGTTGGAAATTCTTTAAAGTCCTTGCACATCCTTAGGTGACCTAACACATCAAAACTCAATGTTAGATGGATATTTCAAAACAAATTAATTGACTTCTTTCCATAGTCGTTGGTTGCAATTTTTTCCAGTTGAAAAATCTGAATGCAACAGATAACATACATCCATCATTTTCAGTGAGTGGAGTCTTATTTTTGACTCGTTTGGTGTCTTTGAGAGGTTTGATTGACGCTTGGAGAGGGTGTTTCGTGTGATCCCACACTCCTGATTTTTGGAGGGTGGCACCCTTTTGTGTTTGGTGGTGCATTTGGCAAAAGTGGAACAGAAGATCCTTTGATAGAGAAGCTGTTAGACACTTTCTAATACTTAAAAAAAGAAAAAGAAAAAACAAAGCAGCATGCATCCACACAAAACACTAGAAACTTGATTGCACTCCTATGTGCCATTTTATAGGCACAAGTTTGTTTGAGATGATAAATGGATCTTTTAAGCTTAAATAATTGATTTTCTTTTCCTTTAGAAATGAATCCTGTAGGTTGTTTCATTTAAATACCTTCACAACTATTTAGGGACTGCTTCTGCATCCATTTAATATAATCTCATATTCATAGTATGCAATAATTGTTAACAATGATTTCAGCATTGAAACGAGCGAAAAGTTTTTTCATAGTCAATATCCTCGTCTTCTTCATTTAGCCTTTTGTCACTCCCCTTCTTCGTTTAGCCTTTTGGTCTCCAGATAAGTAAATGACAAATTACAAATATAAGCTATCGCACAAGTATCAATACACCGAAAACTATTAGACCTAACAATTATGTTGGTTTTCATCTTGAAAATTTGAGATTCACCTTCTAAAGGTCTGTCCTTTATAGATGGTTATTGCAATAAAGTGTGCCAAACAAACTTCAGATAGACTTCCATTACTTGTTCTACTGCACATGTGAAACTTTCATTAATATTCATATTCTGTTTCTTCTCTCCATGTATTGCCAGTCTAAAACCATTTATTACCAGTCTAAAACCAAATCTACAATGACAATGTTCAATACAGTGATTTATAGAATCTACACACCTGAGATTGATGAATTTTGTAATGTGAAATCTTCATTGGGTCATTCCAATGGTTTAAAACCACCTTTAATTGAATGCTGCATCAGTGTATTGTACGGTAGTATGTTGTACGGAGTAATTAAGTTATAAGTTGCGTTAAACC